GGAAGGTGTCCCTGCCCATGGCAGGGGGGGGGACTGGGGGGGCTTTAGTGTCCCTTCCCACCCAAACCGTTCCATGAAATGCAGGGTCTAGCCAGCTCTGCCCTGGCACTGTGCCTCACCGCGCATGCCTGGGTTCCCTCCTGCAGGCCTACATTCAGATCACCTACGTGGAGCCGTACTTTGACACGTACGAGATGAAGGACAGGATAACTTACTTCGACAAAAACTACAACTTGCGGCGCTTCATGTACTGCACACCCTTCACGCTGGACGGCCGGGCTCACGGCGAGCTGCACGAGCAGTTCAAGCGCAAAACAATCCTGACCACATCCCACGCTTTCCCGTACATTAAAACCAGGATAAACGTCATCCACAAAGAGGAGGTGAGGCCTGCGCGCTCAGGGGCTTCCTCCGCTTGGAGGGAGCTGTTACACGAGACAGAGGGGAGTGGGTGTTGCTGAAACTCCAGCGTAACATACCGTTGTATGTGTGTAGTTTGGTAGCATGGCCACGTCCCTTCGTACCACCACGTTAACACAGATGCACCCTCCTGGCCATCACCTTTCGTCTCTGCTAAAGATGCAGAAATTCAGCGGAGAGCGAGAGCAGGGGTTGTGCACGAGACCCCTTGGGTTTGATTTTAAGCATGCCTTGCTCCTGTTGAACTTTTCCCTGTTCCTGTTCTACCTAAACCAAAGCCAGGCCAGTTTAGCAATGCGCTGTGTCCTGCCACCTCTGTCACCAGCTGGTAAACTCAGGGGCCCTTGGTGAGCTGTGTGGTGCACACTGCTCCTTTCTGTTCTGCTTGAACATGTGTCCTGTTGCTCCATGTTTCAGCTCATGCACATGGCCTCATCGGACCCAGGCCAGTGGGGTCCTGAGGCCTTACAGGGAGGTTTATCCCAAGGCTAGGTTAATTTTTCAGGGGTAGATAGGAGCTGATGTGATGCCTGGGACACAGAGGAGATGCGTTTTCATGCAGGGCAGGGCACCTGCAGGTGTTCAGGCACTGGCACAGTGCTGTAACCGTGGGCAGTTGGGTGCAGTGACCCCAGAGGGACACAAGCGATCTCAGAAAGCTCTTGGTTACCCAGATGTTGAAACACATTTAAAAATCAGACTTTTTCTTGATGTTCTTAAACCAAGACTAAGAGGGTGTGTTTCCAAAGTGCTTTTGTCCAGGCTGTCAGCCGTGTTGGTGTCCTCCACCACTTCAGTATGCCGCCCCAAGGCGACCTTGGGGTCTCTGACAGCCCGTGTCTGGTTGGCAGTCTCAGCCATAACAAGCCTCCTCTGTTCTGGCTACTTGTTTAGATCATTTTGACGCCCATCGAAGTTGCCATAGAGGACATGCAGAAGAAAACACAGGAGTTGGCTTTTGCAACCCACCAAGACCCTGCGGACCCAAAGATGCTGCAGATGGTGCTGCAGGGATCAGTAGGTACCACAGTAAATCAGGTGAGGATTGCTGCCTGGACTGGAGACACTGGGGTAGTGCCTATCGCGCGGTGCAGTGGATGCTCAGCATTGGGGCCTATTTCTAAATTACCTTGGGGTTTATTTTTCCCCATTCAGGCTGTGTTTAAGGTCACTGGTGGGTCTAGACGGGCTGCTCTTGGTGACTTTGCAATTTCAGCCCTGAAAATGGGGTTGGATTTGGAAAGTGATTGAGTCGAGCCAGCCCTCCTCCCTCAGTTACCTCTCCTGCCTGGCATTTGCAGTTGTTTCTGCCTGCTTTTCCCTCTCCCTTAAAAAAAAAATAGTTTTATTACTTTCCCTTTGGTTAGCCAGGCTCTCCTGGGTGGAAATAGGATTGTGTCCTGCTGTGGTTTTTGCACAAAATGGAAAGCAAAATGAGTGAATGGAGAAACACTGGGGAAAAACTGAGGGAATGCGAGTAAAGCTTTACTAACACACAAGCTGGAAGAAAATCAGCTGGAGTTTCAAGCTCTGGGTTGAGTTTGCAGTGCTGGCGAACACGGCCTTGGTTCCATCTGCATTGTTTAAACTTCGTCTTATCTGTGAGCTGAGCAGACTTCAACGGAAGTCCTTATAAGAGAAAACAAATGGGCTATCTGTGCATTTTCTCACACTGTTTTCCAAAAGTTTTATTTAAAAACAAAAGAAAAACCATGAAAAGAGGTTCAATTGCCGTGATATTTGGTGATTTATGCCAGATTCACAAGCTGCAGTGCTTCAAGATGCATTCTGTAAGGAAATTGTTGCATTTTGCGCATGTTTCTATGTGCAAGAAGTTGTTTCAGCAGTTGGGTAAGACAGATGGTCCCAAGAAACTTACTTTTTCTCTTCTGCTCCTAAAGGGACCATTAGAAGTTGCGCAGGTTTTCTTGTCTGAAATACCCAACGATCCAAAGCTCTTCAGACATCACAACAAGCTACGGCTCTGTTTCAAGGACTTCACGAAAAGGTATGGAGTGTTGTCTTCAAGCTGCGTGGCAGACGCAGTTATCGCAGCCACAGCAGACAGGGGTATCCAGAGAGAGGAGTATCCCTGTTGTAACTCCGTCTGTCCCATTCCCGTGTGCAGCTGTACCTCAGCTGCCCGGTTGGTTCCCTGTTTCCCTGGTGCTGCAGGTCCATGATTTAAGTCGCATCAAGTGGCTGACGTTGCTTGGCTTTGCTGTTTGAATTAGTGATCAGAGTGCAGTTGTGAGCAAGCGTTCCCGTTTCAGAAAACACAGCCAGCCACGCTGGCACCAGTGAACTCACAGCTTGGCAGGAACAGGAGAAACTGCTGAACTGGCTGGGAGATTTTGTTTCCCTCTGAAGTGAATTTCTCCACACAGAGTGGAAGCATGCTGGCACAATTCTCTCAAGAAATGTGCTGGCTGCTCTACTTCCCTCTGGAGTAGTGCAAACTGCAGACTGAGTCCAGCATCTTTTGCAGGCACCAAAAACTAAATATATATATAACACAGAAATAAAAATGTTCCATGCAAAGAGACCCAGGGGCACAATAGTGTAATACACAGCAGTGACGATACTGTTCTTTGTCTAAATTACATCTTTTTAAGCAGAAGAGTTGCTGATGAACATCTCATTGTCTGCTATTTTTAATCTTTCCTGGGGAGAGCAGTACATCTATCCATCCTTAAATGCTCTTGGACTGGAGTGGCTATGTGGAGATCAGGTTTTCCCTTCTCTTCAGAGAGGATAAACGTAACTGGAGAGTAAATTAAACTAAAAAAGGAGTTGTCAGAGTGAAATGGAAATGGGAAATATGAGTCCCTCTCCTTTTCCCCTGGATGCCAAACGGTTTAGCTGAGTCTTTATTACCCCGAAGACAAGGTAGGGAGGGATCGTGTGTCATTGCAGAGGAACAGAAGGCCTGTCTTTGTACCGTGAGCAAGTCCGTAGCAAGCAGGTCCTTTCTGAAGCGCCCGCGTTTCACAGGCTTTTGTTTTCTAGGTGCGAGGACGCTCTGCGCAAGAACAAGAGCCTGATCGGTCCAGACCAAAAGGAGTATCAGCGAGAACTTGAAAGGAATTACCACCGGTTGAAGGAAGCTCTGCAGCCCTTGATAAACAGAAAGATCCCACAGTTGTACAAGGCGGTGCTGCCGGTCACTTGCCACAGGTGGATACTTGATTTTACTCTTTCAGCAGAGAGCAGGACGGTGTAGAAGGGGGGTGTCTCATCTTCCCAGTGAACCTGTGACATCTATTTGTTTCCAATTGTGGCTCTTTTGGCTGTGTCCATCCCTTTCCCCTTCTGTCCCTGTCCCAGCAGGTATGGTAGGTGCTGTTTGCAACGCTCCCTGTTGTTCCTCATCGTGACAGTATCTTTTTTCAGCCTACATCCCATTCTGTTTCGATTCAAAACCACCCTCAGTGGGACAGGACTTTGACACTTGTTTATTCCCAGTGAAACTGGGCTGAAGAGCTCTGGGGGCAGGCAGGGTGGAAAAACAGTTGGTGTCTTCCATGCTGGAAGACCCCTAAGCTGGAGCCTGAGCTTTAGTTTGTCTGCAACGAGACTGAGCATGAAACCCCCACGGGGAGTGTTTGAAGCAGGTCAGAGCCCGTAGCTGTAACCCACTGTCCCCAGTTGCGGCTGGGCTGGGGGTCTTGGGGTCTGTGAAGTTTCTGACAAGGCTCTGGCTCCCACAGATGGGCAGAAGTGTTTCCCAGCAGGTACCCTCCATGTCATCTTTGGCTGGACAACCCCTGGGTGTCCCTGTCAGCACGGCAGGCTGGCGCAATCCAGTAAGGCTGCCCTGGCATCCCGGTCCCACACCAGTGGGGTGGGGGGGGTTCGGGGAGGTGCTTTGCTGGTGTGGAGCAGGACGGTGACGGTGCTCTTAGTGACAGACCCCTCAGGAGACTGTGTGAACAGGGCTCACGTCCACACTGCTGGTTTAGGAGAACACAGCCCTGGCTCTGAACCTGTCCCCATGCCAGCGCCGT